AGGATCTCTAATCACGTGATGAAGGGATACAGACCTTATTTGGTCACTGGAAATTTTCATTTCGTCATCACTCCTTGTTGTTCGTGCTGGCTTCAACTTGTTTGGAATTGGAAACTCTTTCTGCTCAACTTGATCACTGTAAACTCGGAGAACTTTCAAATCTGGTATTTTCAAAAGGAGCTCTGTTGGAGGAAGATAAATCTTAATGTCAGCTATTGGGATTTGTCAGGGATTTATTTTCGATCGACCGAAAATTGATACCTTCTAAGCTAACTACTTATTACTCAAGTTTTGCGTAGCCAAATTGAAATTAAGTGATGGCGGACACCCACACTTTAAAGAGCGTCTCCATTGTCAGAATACGTTGTCGTTAAACGATTTAAACTTTTGTGCTAGACGACACTTTGGACCATATGACATCATGTGGCCTCCACAATTATCAACAGTTAGTTTTTTTGTTAGCGAGAGTTCTGGGGGATGGGGGCGGAAGCGGTCGTGCACACAAGAGCAGCAATTGTGAAAGACTGATTTAACATGACGGCCGCAAAAAAATCATTTCCAAAACATCTAATATCTGTTTTAATTTTTTCGCATGCTAAATACGTTATTCCTAATGTCATACCTCAACATGAGGTTGGCCCTTTCATGTAAGCATAATCCAGGATGAAAAAACTAAATGACTTTATTAAAATTAAATTCGAAAGCGAACATGATAAAATTAAATGATACTAAAATCGAATTCGAAAGCAAACAACATCAGGCTGGTTTAGAGCATTTTCTGTTAGGATGAAATGTCGTTCGGGAGAAAATTACTCCGGAAACTCATGGAGTGCTAGCACAATTTGATTTCTCATGAGACAGAAGTCATGACTTTTTTTCTCGTCATAGCCTACCTGTAACCACATCCACAGACTTATTCGACGGTCCACAATAAATAACTTGAGGCGGTGATTTGTGTGCTCCATCGTTTTCAGTTTCACCAGTCTCTTTTTCCAACAACTTGCAAGACTTCGTTTTGTTTTGCTCTGCAAACCAGTAGGCGATGTGCACTCCTGTTACGGTTTTCCCAGTACCTAAGCATAAGGGTTTTTGTTTGTTTGTTTGTAATTAACCTTTACTTGTTAGTGTGTTGTCACGAGATTGTCCTTGGCATTGTAAGAAAATGTCTCTAAGCCGATAACTGACACTTTGATCCACGAAACTAAAGTCTACACGCAGATGGTAGCTTTTTATTCCGTGACGACTCAGAACACACCTCGAAACAACAACTTCGTGACCGAGACATACTTCGTATAAGAAAAACTATTCAGTCCTCCTCTTACAGCATCTTCTAGTACACTGTTACTTCGCCATGTTCAGTTGAACTAAAAGTGCTTATCAGCCAGACAATTCGAAGGCCTCGTACCGATTTTCTTCGTTGATTATAAAAAACATGATTCTTACCTGGTGGACCCTGTATAAGTGTAAATGGATTACAAAGTGCTTGTTTGACTGCGGTCTTTTGATATGTATTCAACCTCTTAAATCCATACTGCGTCAAAAAAAAGCTGGTAGGGAGTTCACCATAATTTTCTGACCAAGACCGAAAAAGAAAAAAGAAATTACTTTGATTTACTATAGCGAGGACGCTAAAATCTAACAGTCCTGAAATAAAGTTGAAACTAATCCCAAATAGCCATACCTTTTGACGGTTCGTCTCCTCTGCAAATAGCATGAACTACCTCAGATGAGTGTTCCAGACTGCACAGCGCCGCATACATTCGTCTGGAGAGTTCAAATGAAAGTTGATCATACCAAATACCCCAAAATGTAATAACATAAAATACGTAACGGATTGAAAAAGGCAATTATAGCCTATAGTTGCCTAATTCAATCTGGGAAAAACAAATTTATCGTGATGAACGTTCGGTAGTTCTCCTTATGTTCAAAAACTGAGGTTGTTAGTTTCGTGTCATGCTTTATCTAAGTTCAGCATAGTTGTTTAAACACCTTTTACGTTTCTTGTGAATTTAACACATAGCTAATCGAAATGCCTATAAGGTTTAAATTACTTAAACGATGAGATAAATAAAGCGCACTTCGTTACCAGGTATCTTAATAAAGTATTGTAATTCATTTACCTCTGAGGAAGTGTTCTGTGGATGAGCTCTAAAGTACATCTGTAACTTTGTTCGTTGGAAAGTCCTTCTGGTATGTTTGATGCCGATTGATGGAGGTCCATTTTAACTTTTATCTCCGATTTTTTTTTCAAAACGTTAACGTTTTTGATAATACAGTGTGCCACCCAAAAGTCACTTACTGTTCTATCTGTGTTTGAATGATGTAGATTGTCTTTGGAGGACTGTGGAAAGGGGAAAACCTAAAATCAGCATATCATGGCGATGGTATCAATGTAAAAGAGGTTGGTTAAATACCTTAACGCCGTTTTCACTTTCCCCTGAAGGAGGTGACGTTTCGCAGTAGGACATGCGGATACATACAAGATCTCCGTTATGAAAATCCAGCTGTCGACTATCACAGTAGCTTAAAGGTAGCTTAAACACTCCTCTTGCGTTTTCAGCCTTGCGTTTCCATGCCACGTTAAGGTTCTCAATGGTGAAACCGTCATTCTCTCTGACCGCTTGCGTCGCTGCTTCCATTGAAAGAACTGGTTCCCAAGTCTGAATGTATTCTTCAATGCTCTCATACCGTTCCCTTGATGCCTGGTGTCTAGTTGTACGCGAAAATGTCTCCCTCGGATACTTCCGGTGTTCAATGCAAACATTAAGATGGTTATCCACCTTAACTATTTGGACGTTAGGTTGGAGAATTCCTCGTATCATGTGAGGACAGAGCTGTACCGACAGGAAATCGTATTTTCTCAGTATGACTTTCTTCTCGTAAAAATGGTCTACCATCCCCTCAGATGACGGCTGTGCCTTGTCATTTTGATGAGGATGCTGGTAATAGATACCACGCACTTGGTCAGATGAATTTGTTTCAGTTGAGGTGTCCTTCTCACGGTTAGAAGGCATGGTGCTTAGCTTCTCTTTCGCTTCCTTGATTGTAGATATTAGCTTGTCCTCATCTTTAGCTCTAACCATATTCAAAACAGAAACCCAAATATCAGGGGGAATTTCGATCACTTCGTCAATTCCTCTGTGTTTAGCACTGGATAACTCTGGGGTTTCTCCTTTGTAATCCGGCGCAACGTACTTTCTGATTTTCCATTTGAGAACGATCGATTGCTCTTTACCTTGAATTTCTTCTTTTTCATCCACGGTCAGTAAATTAAGGTGACTAAGGGCTATTCTTTTGTCCTTACTTGACAAGAGATCGTCTTCTTTATTCGAAATTTGAAGACAAATTGACTGATGCTGAATGGATTCAACGAAGACTCGTGTCTCACGACACCGTTGCTGAAGCTGGTTCGCCATGTGGATCTTCTTGCAATACTTTTCAAATTTTCGTGCGTTGTCTTGCATGAATGTATAGCGTCGACAAACCTTTAAAACTTCGTCTTTACTAGGGAGATTAACTGTGTTGCAGCTGGAAGATGTCAATACGAGACCAATGAGTAGGCGATGCACCACGATATCAATATACCGCCTTATTGGCGACGTGAATCGTGTGTATCGAGGTATTCTGAGAGAGTAGTGGTAAATGTTCTCAGGTGATTGATCTCCTTCACAAACGCATCGAGATTCAGCCTGCAGACGTCGAAAATGAGAAACAGCTGTAGCAATTTGTGGATAGTTGCTCTCGTTGCAAATCAGGTATTGAAGTGAGGGAAAATCGTTTGACTCGGCGGCTTGACATATTGCACACCAAACTTGCTTCTGAATCTTGAACTTGATGCTTTCATCATGAAGAGCCACGAATGATGTGGTGTTTGTTGTGTCTTCCGTGAACGTTGCGGATAACGTCAGTGACATTCTTGTATACTTTCCGTACATTTTAATCCATTCGGCCAATCTGTGATCTTTTGGTGGCAGCTGTATTCTCAGAAGTGCTAATTCAGAATTCCTATGTGACAAAAGTTTGGCGATTTCTTCGTTTGCAAGAATCATCCATTCTTCCACTAGCTCGTGGGCTTCGAAGTCATTTCCTCCGTTTTGCCAGTGATCAAATGCTCCATCTCCGAGGCGATGAATTCTTCTCTTTTGTGCTAAGGAACTTAACTGCCTAACTTTTCTCTTTATGCCTTCTGGTATTTCTAATGTACTCTCATCTATTTTATCAATAATCATCTGAGCCTCAACATAATTCAACCGACAACAGGATCGAACGATTGTGCGTTTTATCTGTGGGTCACCAATTTGTTTTCCTTCTTCGTCTAGAGTCACGAATACTGATACTGCTAGACGGTCCTCATTGGGAAGTAGGCTGCAAAAATTCTCACTTAGTGGGCGCGGAAGCATTGGGACATTTTCATGGCCGTGGCCAGGATAATATGAGGTACAGCGTGCGAATGCTTCATCATCTATTGGAGTGTTCGGTCTGACGAAGAAACTGACATCAGCAATGTGTATCCCCACTAGGAAAGTTGAGGAAGATATATCCTCTATCGTCAAGGCATCGTCAAGGTCTAGGGATGAAGGAGGATCAATTGTAATGGCTTCAGAAACCCGGGTGCGATTGTTAAGTTCTGCTTTTGGAATGGACCATCCTGGCGGAAAGTTTTCACCCACATACTTTAGGGTCTGTTCTTTAAATTTTCTTCTTACCCCATGCTCAGCATACGCAATTTCCATGCTACTTTTCAAATCTTCTCCTTTGGACAGTGCTCGCACAACGATACCGAGGGGGTTGCTAAAGTCACTTCTCCACTGGAGGTATTTTACAACAAAAAGGTACTTCCCATTGAGGACTTTCTCTCTTTTCAACATTCTTACTTTTATGGCTCTTCCGTACTGATCCTTTTTGTATACCGGAATATTCTTACAACTCTTGTCTGTAAGGTTCACCAGTTTAGTGGCTGCTTTGTTGATGGGCACCATTACTGCAGGACTTTCGTAATCTGTTGTACATACAAACTGTCGTTCATGTGGACTTATTATATGTTCAAGTACACCTGAAGAAGAAGGAAAAATTCATATAAGTTTCAAGCCGGCCATGAGATCAGTAATAAGAATATGCTGATGTCATGTATTCATCAAGCTGTTAGCATACGTTTGTACATGATGAGAGAGAATTTCCCAGTCCCAAAGCAATGCTTTTGTCGATTCAGACAATCTCATGTCTTTTCATTGGCACCTATGACATGTTTTTCAACGAAACGTATTTTAATGGACCAATGCAACATTTACCACTATCAACTAAGATTGCGGAGGGTATCTACGATAATTGTGGGGAGAAAATCGCGCCTCCTTACCAACAACTCTTCCTTGGACGGCTGGCTCATTTTCATCGGTCTTTGAATGGGCTTTCCTTTCACCTATCTCTACAACAACTTTGTCCCTATCAAATGCTTGACGAAGCTTTCCTTTGATTTGAATGGATGGCGTCTTGGTATCTTCAACCTCTGCATAACCCACGTGCAACTTTTCAGGACTTAGACGAAGATTACAGACAATATATTTCTCAGGTTCGTCCGCGATCAGTTTCATCAGGACAGAGGGATCAAGAAAATCCTGTTGCCTCGAGGAAATCATGACTCGTTTCGCTCTTTCGGATGGAGAACTGTAAAAGCCAAGGTTAGTAAGGCGCACTTCAACACGGCCGTTTATGACTCGTACCTCTGGGAACAGATCTTTTATGTCGGCACCACCCTTGAATCCAGAGCGTTGCACATGCTCGATTGGTTGCTGTTTCAAGTCTCTCATCGTTTGGAGGGATGGGAATTCGGAGTCTTCAAAAACTGATCGGCGCTCTTCGTCTATTTTCAGTGTTTCTTCGCATTTTCGGACAAATGCCTGAATTATTTCGTCCATATCTTGAGGAAATACCGTTTCGTCCTCAAGAAGGCATTCTTGAAAGTAATTTGAGTCTGCATTGTCGTCGTCAGGCTCTTCTTCGTCCTGATCCCTATCCTGATCCTTAAGGTTGAGAATCGGTCGATCCCTGCCATCCAAGTCATCATTTTCCGCCGAGCCTTCATTTAGGATTTGCTGGCCACTTGCCCCTCGGCTGTCGCTCCTTGTTTCTATGACTTTCCCCACGTTTTGCTTCTCCACTTTCACCTTTACACACACGTCATCTTGGGTACTTTCTATTGTCTTGTCTTCAGGTGCTTTTGCATCTAAGCCTTTCTCAATCTTTGGTAAGAAACTGGGAATAAACGCCCTAGCTATAGGATTAAGCTGGACACTGGCAACAGAAGCCCTTATTTCTGATGTTAGCTCTTCCATTGTTGTTCCATGTAGGCCACCTGCCTTATAACATCTCTTGATGTAGTCTCTCCAGATTCCTCGACATTCTCCCATTGTGCAAAGAGAGACAGGATCACCAACTACTGCAATCATGCATCTCGCTCTCGTCACGGCTGTGTTAAGCAACTTTGGGTCTGACAAAAATTCCCAATAAAGTTGTCCATCTGATCCACTGTTAAGCAAGTCTTCTTGCTGAGGCTTGCAAGTATGAAATGTACGCACAGTACTGATAAAAAGCACCCGGAATTCTTCCCCTGAAAAAAAAAGTTTGACGAAAGAGTGGGATGCAAAAGACTAAGTAGGTAGGTCAATTTATTTTTCTTGAATGATTTAAAATGCAGGAGACTTTACCTTGAACGTTATGGATTGTATCCACCGTTACATCTCTCAGATCTTTTTCCTTCCGCAAGCTTCTTCGTATGGCTTGCACCTAAGTATTAAGTTCACATCGTTCGCAGAAGATTAGGAAGGTGGATCTGAATCAAAAGGTTACTTTGCAAGTATCAAGAATAATTTTTGAAACATTTGAGTAATGTGGTGAAAATTAGTTAGGAAAGAGGTAAATTAGCATCGCTGTGAACCCATAGTAAACACAAAAGGACATGGTAGTAAGAAGAGGCACATATGTTTTAACAAGGTTTTAAAACTGATTTGAAAGAATGTGCAACGCTTCCAATAGAGCTTATTCTTTTAGATTAGATTCTCTTTAATTTGCTCTCTTAAAAAGAATATTCATAATGAAAAAGAGGAGTCGTCTACAAGCTGATACTCTTAACTTGCAAGTTGTTATCATTATTAATAACGTTTCCTGAAGAAAGCAAACACTTACCTGGTAACGATAAGAAGACAGAACTGCGATATCAGATAGAATCTTGGGGCCCCAAACAGCAGGCCAATTGTCGGAAATCTCTTTGACTCTCTTCTCTACCTCATAAACCTCAGATAAATTGAGATAGGAATTGCCCTGCTCTTTTGTTTCCTTACCGCGTGCGGAGAAGAATAAAAGGGGGCCATAGTTCGGGTGCGCCGGTTGGGACTCATGTCCGCGAGCAATTAGCTTTTTACCATAAAAATTTTCAGAGGGAAACTTGAGAATATGTTCGTTACATCGGTAGTTTTCTCTCAGCCACAAAACATTGGATTCCTCATTTAATTTGGGATTACCCTTGGATGCCTCAGCCTCCTATTTTTCATAGAGGTCAAACAGCCTTTCAGCCAATGACTTTTGAAGTCCCAAACTTCGCGCTTGAGGTGAATAGACTTCTGGGCTCATCTATCGTAAATAAAGTGATCAACTTTAACGATTTGGGTTACGGCAAAAAATTCAACTGTCATTCTTTCAAGTATTCTCCAAGTCCATAAGTTATTTTTTTTCTTAAGTACAGTTTCTGTTAGCAATGATAATAATAATGATTTCGATAATAGTAATAATAATCATCATTATCATCATCATCATCATCATAACAGTAATGACGAACAAAAAACTTAAAAAACTTGGAAGTAAGCAATAAAATATGAGAGTAGCCGTCAATATAAAACTTTGGAAATATTTCCCCTCAGTCCACATTTGTACCTGCATATGATCTCCCGTAAAGACAATTTTCGTGTTTGTTCCAGCAAACTTCAGTGGGTTTAAGGCCTCGGGTTCAAGCGCTTGAGCGGCTTCATCAATGAGGATATGAGTAAAGAATCCGTGCAACACTTCCAGATCAAGAAGCACTCGCGATGTGCCAAGTGTTGTAATCACTACGCGACGCTCAACGACGTCATCCCGACGGGGCAAAACGAACATACCTTCCTCGATTAAACAATACTTCCTTGCTATCGTAGATGCCGTTTCTAGTCTGAAATTAGAGAAATGAAAATATATCAGTACTCACTGATACAGGTCTACACAATTAAATGAGCTATGCAATGTTAATGGCCATTTCCTTTAAATCAGATTCACATAATTCAGCTTTTTGTCTGAAAAAGCTCTCTGGTAGCCGTTATAGGTCCCTTGCGACGCAGTCGCTCACGAGAAGTAAAATACCTCAATGAAAACTGATCTGGTACTTTTAATTTTATCTCTTCACCTTCTCATTGGCTGATAAACCCTTAAAGGCCTTGCTGCAGGTGTTCCATTCTTCTCAGTAAGATACTCATGCAACAATTCCACGTGGAGGTCTGCCGCCCGATTTGAATGAGTGCATAACAGAATTCTGTTCGATTTGTCCAGTTGTACCAAGAGACGAACGGTTTGGTTAAGAGTAAATGTCTTTCCTGTCCCGAACGGACCAAAAACGACCAGAGGGAGGGCATTATCCTCATGGGAAGCAATTCTTTCGATGACTTTCTTTTGATTTAAATTTAACCGCTTGTCGAGAAGCCATTGCCAACGGATTTTTACCTGCAATTTCAACATTTCCCTCTGTTTAAGGCTACATATATTTAAAAAACGACTTAAGAATTCAGATCCATACCTAGAAACTATAATTGCTTACTTCTCTTCTGACAGTTCCAACAGTTGGATCCGGGAATATGAGGCGTAACTGTCCTGAGGTAAGTCTTTCAACAGCTTCGTGCAACTGACAAAGTGGCCAACGATTCAGCTGGAACTGAGCATTAACAGCAGTTTCACAAGTGTCGTGCAGCCTCAGTTCCGAGCACAATTTAGACGGTAGTCTTAAAACAACGCAATCACTCCCCACTTTCTCTACTGAAGCTTCGTAAACGGTTCTGGATTCACTATTGGCCGGTTGGAGCCAGACAGAATTGACATTGCGATAAAGGAGACGACCGGCGGCATCGTCTGGTTTGAGAGCGTCTTCTTGCAGACGGAAGACACCAAATAATTCGCCATTCACAGCACACTTCATTCCAGTCATATCGTCCTGAATATTTCTCTGTGCATGTAGCTGGGTATTACTTAAGGTGTAACTACATAAAATAAATAAACAAACAAAAACAAAAAAAAAAACAGGAAAAAGAAACTAAACAAAAACAGAACCAAATTTTATCATCCATTGAAAATCAAAAGGAACCCTCTGTATCCACAAAAATAAAGGCGATATCAAATTAACGTTTTGTATACTATTTTATTTCTTATTTGATTATTATTATTCTCATTATTTATTTTATTTATAGACGGTAAAAAAATTCATCAGGCACATTAAATTCTAATACAATGACTAACATCCTAAAACCTTAAAATCCTAATCCTAACATTAACTTACGATATGTCACTTAAAAAACCTGATTTCCATGAATGCCTTGTTTAAAAATTATGATAGAGATGGCGTTTAAATATATATTTATATTAATTCTTGTGTTACAAGGCAAGCTGTTCCAAAGGGTTGCGCCGCTGTAACTAAAACTATTTTTCGTGTAGTTAGTTCTTGGAAAGGGGACAAGAATTTTGTTTACCGAGTCCCTCAGAGAATAGTTTGATTCATTTCGCTTTATGAATTTAGACCTGAGATATTCGGGAACCAGCCCATTTAAAGACTTGAAAACCATTAAGGCGTTCTGAATTTGACGTTGAGTTTCCAAGTCTTTCCAGCTGAGGTTCCAGTGAAACAAAGAATCGACACCTACGTCTTAGTTTGATGAAGTTATTACTTGTTTAGCACGGTTTTGTAGCTTTTCAAGGTTGTCAGACAATGTTTTGCCACAATTACCCCAGACTAAGCTGCAGTAATCAAGGTGAGATTGAACTAGTGAGTCGTGTAATTTAAGTAGGGTGGATTGGGCCACAAACGGCTTAACTCGCTTTATGGCTCCAATTGCAGAAGCGATCTTTTTACACAGCTTATCAATGAAGGAATGCCATGTTAAATTTCCATCGATATACATTCCAAGTGATTTAGGAGAGGAAACTTGTTCAATCGGAACATTATCAATGGAGAGTTCTAGTGTATAAGATAGAGTAATTAATCTTTGCCTGGATCAACATATTCAGATTTTGTAGTGTTCAAGGTAAGTCTGTTAGACGCAAGCCATTTGCTTAGCATTTCAAGGTCGTGAGATAAACTACACTGATTCAAATGCAAATCAGAATAAGCATATGTAACGTGGGTGTCATCAGCATATATATTAGGTATGCTGAACGAAAGACAGTTAGGCAAATCGTTAATGTAAATTAGAAATAAAAGAAGGCCAGGGATCGTTCTGAATGGCACACCACATTTAAAAGTGGTGAAGTCAGAGAAACAACCGTTTACTTAAACAAAACTCTCCGGGGGCCTTCTATCCTTCGAAATGGAATAGACACGACCCTATGTTTTTATTCCAGTTTTTTGGGAAAGTTCACTCGTAATATGTCAACATATTTTCAGACGCCTAATTCTGAATTTGTACCGACTGCTGGCCCCACTGGAGAAGAATGTATATTATAAAGGCATTGAGTTTAAAGTACAGCTACAACCTTACTTAAACGTACCGTGATATTTCTTCTCTCATGAACCTCTCCTCCGCAAATAGTAATTGGTGCATGACGTTTTTGTAGATCTTAGGGCTTAGGACCTTATCAGTAATTTCTACTTGTCTAGGAAGTATGTGCTTCCTTGACAAGTGTTCTGCCTGAAGAGCCTCTTTTGTCTCGTGGACGAATCTGACCACTTCTACTGACCTTTCGTCCCATATTGCAGACGCATGCGTAGCGAGATGTTCTGGTGCAGTGGGAAGCGTAACGGACTCACTTGTAACATCAGCAGTAAGTTTTTTTACAAGGTAAGGTTTCCTCCCAAAGTCGAATGAAACCAGCTGTTCAAAGCTTCCATACAGAGGAGATTCAAAGGAAACTTTGAGAACCACCTCCACTCGTCCAACAAGTCTTGCTGAGCTTGGAGACTTGTACCAGGGACCTTTCAGCTTGGCTGTGTAACAAAGCTTGTACGTTTCAGAACCATGCTTTTCTTCATAGCAGCCAACAGGAATCTCTGATAAGTGATAGAAGCTATGGTATCGATGAAGGAGAAAGACATTTCGTAAGGTTCCTACCTCATGTGGCTGAAAAAGTGATGACACAATGCATTGCGTGAAAGAATTCCAAGGTACACTAATGAACTCTAAATTGCACCACCTGCATCTATCTACCAGAATAAAATGTTTGCAATTTGGCTACTAAAAATGTCCAATCACTTATCAATCACTTAAAACATCAGAGTAGTCATTTTTCAGTTTGATGTCATCGTTTTTTGTTTCTCTAATAAATAAACTATTGCATGTTAGGTGGAGTTAAGAATGAAATCGTAGTCTCAATAAATTTACGTAGGGATGATCCTTAATATTGTGACACGCTTTTAAAGTGTGTCCTGAGCTGAGACTAAAGTTTTTCGTTGCGGTATTTATGACTTCATCATCAGTACTTACCTGGAAGGTAAGAGTGAATGTCCACTTATATTGCTCTTTGTCCCGAAGTTTTACATTGAACTCGGGAGGTGAGCAAATAACCTCGACTCCAGCTAGATACTCCACTCGCTGTTAACGTTAAAGAAAAATAGGCTTTTAACAAATGAATAACTCAATCGAAACTAATATAATTCTTCTTCTAAAAACCATGGTTAATGAAGGTACTTATTATACACCTAGTTGAGACTTGCAGCAACTCAAACGCAATTTTAAATCAGAATATTTCCAAATCCACGAAAAATTGGATGAGTATTTCAGAAACACAAAATTTTCAACTGAGTTAATGTAAGTTTCGAGTTTTCCCCTATTTAAAGGTAGGGATAGAATTGGGTCTTCATTTATGTTGTATCTTTTCAAAATTTAGGTTATAGTTTGTTTATCATCTCTTTAGACATGAAAGTGTACAGTACCTGAGTTGCCAAGGTGATAACTGATAAAAGCAAATTTACCACAGTGTCTGTGGAATCTCACCATTAACGCCAACATAAACTAGGAGACTTACATCTTCCTGAGGGGCTTTTAAGATTTTTGATGCCATTTCAGAAGAAAACAGTTCTTCTCTTTCTTTAATATCTTTCTCTAGTTTCTCCTTTATTTTTCTGTCGTACTCCTTTTTCCATTCGTTCAGTTCGTGCTGGTTGTGAGCATAGATGCACCCTCTACCGAATCTGCACCTCTCACGCGTATAGCAACTGTTAATGAGGTAAGACGAAATAAATCTGTGAGAAAAGTTGTTGTTTCCAGGAAAAAGACTCGTGAGTCCAGTGACGTCGATAGATAAAACTTCTCGAAAAAAAACAACCATCTACATCATTCCTGATGTAACATTGTTCATTGCATTCAAAGTTGCAAATTGTTTTTGAATTCTTCTTTCTTAACTGGACTACCTATTTTTTGCATCGGGTGAGCATAAAAGTACACAATAAATCAGTATCAAAATTGTAATTATTCTACCTTCTACATAAGCGATAGGAGCCATTTGTTATTCCTGGTGGGGATGGTCTGTGTCGAAGCTGGGAGGTAGGCTGCATAGCTGAGGACCTCTGGGTTGAAGCAGATGGCATGCTACTAAATGACCCGGTAAAAGACTCCCGTGGCGTAGGAAGAACTAGATTAATGATAAAAAGTAGAAAAAATAATAGATTTTACATCTACCTCGTGACCCCGTGACTAAATAGAATCACGATGAAAAGATCATGTTTTTGTCTGCAAAATAAGCAACGTTGGAGACCACACCCTCAATTGATGAGGTATGTATTTCTAAGCTTTAGATGCATAGGCTATATTAACGTACATATTCTCCAGTGCAATCAAGTTTCGCAAGCTATAAATTAATAATGGTAGTTGGATAGAGTGGAGTGCAATTTGTATAAATAATCACATGATCTCAAGTACAATTTGAGATATATTCGAAAAAATAGATTTTTCAAAGGTAACCAAATTACAAATTCCAAGATTTAAAAACGCTGATATATCTCAAATTACACTCGGAATCACAAAAGTACTAGTCTGGGATAATTTTTTGGTTTTGATTTTTGACACCCTCGTATTCAAAAACTATCCAGTTGCGAAAATAAAGGCAATGAAGAGGATGAGTCCCTGCTGAATATAAGATAGTGAGAATCTTGATATCACTTACTTCCTTCTCTTTCCATTGTCCACATGGTTAACTCCAGCTCACTGTGGGCAAAAGAGCATGGTATCTTAAGACAACGGTCATGTTTGGAATACTGACGACATTTCTTGAATGCAACTTTGATATTCACATCTTTGGGATACGGGCTTATTTCTTCCCATTGTTTCCAAGTAACACTCCAGAAAGCGTACTTGAACTTTGACCGGTTCTCGCAGCCTTTACATGGTTTGGCTTCAGGGGAAACTCTGGCTGCCCGCCTGAGATTTTCCTTAAGAAAATGGTCGCACACGACGTATACACCAGTAGGGACTTTTCTATAGTCTTTAGGAGAGTTTTTCGAAGGGATATCATTCGTCTTTTGAATCGGTGTTGACGGTCCTCCAGCAGCCTTAAGTACGTTAGACCAAGTGGACGACTGAGAATTTGTAGAGTGTTCCGAAGCAGGACTTTGAGAGGGAATACTGCTTTGAATAATCTCCTCACAAGTCTGTGTGGATGTCTGTGCGGAAGATGTAACTGGAGTAGAAATTATCTCATTACTCTCCAAAGGTGAAGACCAAGTAGAAGGGTTGGAAACTTCTGCCCTCAGTGTATCAGACAAGACTGTCCCTTCATGTTTCACTTTTGACATCAAATCAGTAGGTTTCACAAAGGCTTCGATGGGTGCAATGGGATTTTCCTTCTCTTCTGCAAGGCAGCCTGTGGATGATGTATTTCCTTTGGAACTCGCCTCTTGAATCCCCATGTCAGATGTCGGTAAAAATTGGGGTCGCAGAGAGGGATCACTAGAGGCTATAGGTGTTGTGCAGGAGAAAAGAGGAGATGCAATGTGAACTCCGTCTTTATTGGGGCCTTGATAGGGAATGGGTCCTGACGGAACTGCTTTGGGTGTAGCAATTACAGTTGTAGCTCGGATATGGCTAAATGTAGAGGGTTTGCTCGACTGAACGTCCATGGCAGTGCTCGGTTGAAGACTTGTAATAGTGCTTTGAGTTACGACAGCATCAAAGCCAGGGCACTTATTTACTAAGGAAGTTGTGAACGAAGCCATCGTAACACATTCCGTTATAGTGACCGTCGTCTGGAGCGGCAGGGAATCAGTATCCCTCTCCTGTGTAATGAGCTGCGTGGGTGCTGTGGCGTTGATAGATCGTAACAACCGTAGACTCTCATTCGGAGTGTGAAGGCCTATTTATGAAATAATTATGATAATAAACAAATAAACCAATCGCGTTGGGAAATGAGGCATGCATAACCAGGGGGAAATCTGGCATCCTTTGTAAATTCTCCTAGTTCCCGAGCTTTAATTCTACAAATGAATTAAGTATACTTACTGCCTTCTCGCTGCTTTTCCCATAGATGCCTCTCTATTTCCCCATGAGCATACGTGCACGGTTCCTTTCGACAGGACGTTTTAGCAGCAAAGTGCCTGCATACATTAAGAGGGGCGTCGGGAGGAATCTTACCAGCAGGAAATGGCCTTATAACTTGCCAGTAACGGTAGATGTCATTCCAGACGGCGTAGTTTAACAAGCTACGATCCTCACACCATTGACAGGTCTTAGCCTGCACGTAATCGCACGTTGGCCTTTGGCTCAAAAAGTGGCCACAAACAACAAAAACCTTTTCAGGAATGGGTACACGCGATGCCACAATCGTTTGAGATGTTAAACCACTTGGTTTTTTATTTGCAGTTGTGACTGAAGTTATGGTACTTGACGTTGCGCGAACGTATGCTGAGCTCTGCCTATCTGTTATAGGTAACATTTCCTCTATAGTCTCAAAATTCGGCTGTCGGCTAGCAGCAGGAACAGATGACTGACGATTCTCGTCGGATGGGCCAATCCAATCAAGACAGGAAACTTTCTCTAAAAACATCTGTTGACAACCTTGGGATGGCGATGATGGAGAGCGGCGAGTATTCGGTACAGGAATAAACTCTTCACCGTGGGATACCTCGTATCCATCGAATTCGATAACATTAAGTGTAGACGATAAGAAATAGCCAGAACCGAGATGTGGATCTCCAATAACAGAATCCGTCGCTTGCGAAGATGGTCTATTCGCGTCGTTGCTCGCCGGTGGTAGATCTGATAATGTAGTGACAAAATCGCTTAGCTACAGGTTAGCTTAGATTAAAACATACAAAGGGCACAAAATAATCCAAATCTACCCTTAGGAATTTGACTAAAATAAATTGACAAGTAAGTAGATGAATGAATGAAAGAGATAAGGTGACCCATGAGTCAAGGAATGTCCACTTTTAATTCATTTCTTTGGTTATGTTAACACTAACATAGCTTAAAAGCGTAAATGTCATTCACATATTGAAAACACGTTAGTGAAGTGATTTACCTATTAAGGAACTTTCGCTTTTCTTCTGAGCCTTTTTCTTCGCCTTCTTTTTCTTTTTCTTCTCTCTATTTCCATTCTTTCTCCTTTTATTATTTCCTTTGATGTAAATAATACATAATGACCTATAAAGCAACCCTTTATTACAATGAAAAAATTCATCGAAACCTGAAGGAGAACTAGCCGAAAAAGGACATGATACCCTGCTCTTTGGCTGTCACGCCCTCAACTTGTCCTTGATCTAAATCTTCCTTCTTTTCTTGCACCACTGTAGAAATGAAGGTAATCTTGTAATTGGTAACCATTACCATGATGAAGTAGCTTCTTAGATTTAGAGAGTGTAGTTTCTTTTCTTATTCTTCTAGGCGGTATAGTATTGCACGCTTTAGCGTCGTTGAAGAAGGACGATTTTCTAAATATATAGCAAATGAAACTGTCTCAAGATATACCTCTTTCACTGTCCTGAATAGCGTCTAGATAATTGCCCTGTAAGATAATATAGAGATTTAGCCAAGCCTAAAAGCGAGCTCCCACTTAGTGAAAAGTTTGCAATAAAACTTCTTTACATATATTAAAAATTTTTAGCCAAAAATTCAGTATAGATTAAACCCATTGACACTTTTACCATTTACACTTACATGTAACACGCGCCTGTGAAAAGTCAAAATTTTGGAGAAACCAAGAAGGCAAACACAATGCGCGCTAAATTTTTAAAAATCATCTTTTCCAAAAAACAAGCTTCAGCGAAAGAAGACTAATTAAAGAACTTATTTCCGACGAAAAAAGCAATAGGTGCATATTACGTTTTAACTCAAAAATAAAGATGAAAGATAAAAATCGCTAAATATTTTCGCATGTGTGCAAATGGGGATGTGGATCATATTTCAAATTGGAATATGTGAATTTGTCCGCGAGTGAAGAGATCTCAAGTTCCATGGAAGCAAGACTAAAATGGCCAAGAAATATTTCGGGACGACAGATTTATTCAAAACAGTTTTCGATTTGTTTGCGAAAAATGTACGAATTTCTTACGTGTACAAAGCCCACGCGGTAAATTTAACCATGCTTAGATCGTTGTTTACTTGCCTGCAAGGTCAGAAATTGCGCACCGTTATGTTGAAAATTCTGGAAAAACTTCAATTTGACACAAAATCTTCTATTAAACAATACCTTTTGAACACATTGTTATTCGCACATAATATTTACTGGGTCATCGAATCGTCAAATTGTCGCTAGGCCCTGCTTGAAGTCCGGAAGTTCGGTTTCCAATTTACGTCCATAATTCGCATCGCCTCAGAGAATCGTAGTGTCGACTCGAGAGCTTATTCTGTCACCTTTAAGACCTTGAAATCCATTCTTTTCTAAGAAGAGTATTCTATAGCATTGTTACTTTACATTCTGAGTTCCCCAAGGTCTAACTCGATCGCAAATGAACGAAAAATCCAACCTGAAAATTTTGAGGGTGGGCTGCGCGGACGTCATTTTCAAATTTGATCATATAGTACATTCGTGATAGCATACATGACAGAGGGCACAAACGTAAGCTCGTTCAGTCACGTGACAACCAAACGAAAAGAGGTTGACAATATTCCATGGGTATGGGGCTCTGCCTCACGCGCGAGAAGCGCGCGTGGGAGCCCCGCTAAAATTTGAATATTTTGTATGGATTGAGAGAGAGGAAAAGCGCAAAGTACAAAAGAACTGAACTTCAATCTACGAAATTGCACTAACCATTTTAAAGAAACACTCTGCTCTCTTTCGAAAGAGCTTTTCGGAAATGATAGAGATATCCACAAAGGTCGTGACTGGTTGTTCCATCGCTGCTGTATAAAGTACTGAAGCCTCTTCATACATCTTTGCTCGGAATTTTTCGTCACCCCGATTCTTAAAGAACGTGACAGCTGGATTCTGTGATCATTTTAAAATATGTAGCAGATATAAATAAGAAACAGGAAAAGAGAGCCTTTTTGAGGCGTATACCTCAGACCGAACAGGTCTAGTCATTTAATTACTCCTAATAATAACAAGCAGGAAATNAATCCAAATCTACCCTTAGGAATTTGACTAAAATAAATTGACAAGTAAGTAGATGAATGAATGAAAGAGATAAGGTGACCCATGAGTCAAGGAATGTCCACTTTTAATTCATTTCTTTGGTTATGTTAACACTAACATAGCTTAAAAGCGTAAATGTCATTCACATATTGAAAACACGTTAGTGAAGTGATTTACCTATTAAGGAACTTTCGCTTTTCTTCTGAGCCTTTTTCTTCGCCTTCTTTTTCTTTTTCTTCTCTCTATTTCCATTCTTTCTCCTTTTATTATTTCCTTTGATGTAAATAATACATAATGACCTATAAAGCAACCCTTTATTACAATGAAAAAATTCATCGAAACCTGAAGGAGAACTAGCCGAAAAAGGACATGATACCCTGCTCTTTGGCTGTCACGCCCTCAACTTGTCCTTGATCTAAATCTTCCTTCTTTTCTTGCACCACTGTAGAAATGAAGGTAATCTTGTAATTGGTAACCATTACCATGTCAATATCAATGATTTAAGCAGAACATCTGAGGCCCTTACCATTTGGAACAACATGCAAAGGAGATTCTTTCTCCCTCTGTGCAGTCTGCCGCTGCAAAAAAATATGATGCAATACATTCTTACTGATTGAGTGGGAGGGTTGGGAGTTAAAATAGTTGACTCTCGAGGTTAGGGCATATGGACCGGGTGCATCGAGGTCTGTGCATCGTGAACAGGAGTCCAATATTTTCCCGTCCGGTTGACCGAACTCAGTCAATGAGCATTCTATCATAGGACCACGAAGTCATACACATAAGAGAGGCGTGCACGTAAAAACTACAGAGTAGATTTTACAATAAGATTTTCTCCTGTATGTCCTCGTCTTAGAACAAGAAACATTCAATTAATGGAAAAATGTGACTCATTCATCCTTTCTGTTCCTTCACTTTCTCGGGAAATGCACTGGTGCCGTGTAGGTGTGAGGTGGGAACGTCTTTTCTTGACTGTTTCAACACAACCGGCCCCACATACGTCAGTTTTTCATGGCGTGTTATTAACGATTCTGCGCGCGGGTCTTTACAGCTAACAATTCATGATAATTCACTTATATTCTGTTTCTCTTGGTCACTCATTTTCATCGGACCTTTATTTTTGGGTGACAAACATTGAGAAAAACGTATGTTCATGCACTTTTCACAATGAAAGGTCCTTAAGTATACACTAAAATGGTGGATAGCGTCGAAATCGTGCTCTAATTGAGTACTCAAACGCCAAAAGTTCTTGCTATTTACGTCCGAGAAACTCTCTTAAGATAAGCACCCGAAATATCGTAATCGTTGCAGAAATAAATGGTCTCACGCCTAGCAGCGCGAGCCAACGACAGATACCTTGAGCTGGAACGGCTCTTGAGCTGCGGCGTCATTCATTCCTATTCTCGGTGGCTCTGCTTTGACATCGTCCAGCTTCTCCTATGAAAAATAGTTGAGCAAAAAGGTTATTTGGGTTGAAGTCAGCGATGAAGACTAGCTATGAATTATCAGGCGATTTTGTTCTTTCATTGCTTACCAGTACTTTGAAGTCTAGAGCACGTAGAACTTTGTCTACTAAAGCACTTGAAGAGGTCAAAATTCACTTCTCTCTTGAATTAAAGTCCTCACGAATCTTTAAAATAGCCATATTTTTCTTACTCTTAGATCTGTTGTTAAACTTCTTGAAAAAAAAGAAAGGATGCAAGAAACGAATGTAAAGAAATAAAGTAAAGATGAAAAAATCCTCACCAGACTTTTTCTACAATATCCTATCGCGTACATACCATTTCCTTCACTTGTCTCATTTCTCTTTCACTTATTTGTCCTGTAATTTTTACCATTAGACTCAAAGCGTCCACGTCATCATCTATGAGCCACAGGACTGAAAGAAGAAAGAAGACACAAAGCACGCAAAAGTATTTGTTTAATTAGCTCGTAGCATATTTATGCTAATTTAGTGTTACACCTTGCCACAAACTTCATTTTTTATTTCTCCTTGACAATGGCGTCATGATGACACCGAAACGTCGGTTTTTATCGTTAGTTTTTGCTAGTCTTTGCATTTAAAATATAAACAACACACAAAAAACCCAACAAAGCAAATCTGTTTAACCAAAAGAAACAAAAGGACCTAAAACAAGAAAAATGTTGAAACAAAATAGCCTGAGCTTGGATAACGAGGTGATTCATTATCGAGCCATTGTGTGGCATGGCTGAAACGTGTGTATTTTGGATGCTTCCTTGGCTTCTGCCAGACCACCATTCACAAGGAATTTCATTGACGGTCATGGATTCAGAATGTACTTAACAAATCTTTAAAATAGAGGCTATGTTATCACTAAACACAGTGAAACAACTGTTTTGTTCCCATATGACAACATGGGTTTCTTTTTTCCCCCTCAGTCTAGAATTCATGTTAATATTGTGCTAGTGAGTGGTCACCCTTAGCACCGACCTTTTGTAAGAATCCGTAATGATGCTATAACAACAAAATTTAACAAAGTATAAGGAATTTTAGACTAACCATACCTTTTGCACAAGCCACTTTTGCCTCATTGCATCTTCCCTATAGTAACATGCAGAGTAGATCTTTCAATAGGCTAAGAAAGATGTCCGTTTCTTGCTTAGTTTAGTCTGATATATAACGAATACGAAATCAGTGGTTTTGCACGGCTTTGGAGTTTATCCAGGTTTCAGTGCATGACGAGGCTTAGAGTGTTCGCAGTTTATATGGATGGGACGCTAGTCCATCACAAGATTTCACTTGCATTTCATCTGATTTCACTTTAAACGGCAGTCTTAAATCTTACCAACTGTAGTAGACATTCAGCTTGTCTGAGTTGGACTTTGGGTAAAACAAGGAAGTCTAATAGGTCCAATAGCTCGGTGTAACATTCCAGGGCTAGCTCAAGTGCATCTGAATCCATTCTCATTTCTTGGGCAAAAGTAAGTACTCTGAATAACACTTCGTCAATGACATATTCATTCTTTAGGAAGGAGAGAGTTAAGAA